AATACCCGTAAACAAAAAGGTTTGGGAAACCACTCCCCCGAAGAAATGAAAAACAACCCTGACTTAGAGAAAGACTATATATTTAATAGTTTAGTCAAAAGAGACAAACAAGAAAGAATGCCAGGCTTCAAACTTAAGAAAGGTGACAAAGTAAAAATAGAAATACCTAAACGCGACCCATATGAAAATACTATTGACTATGACAACAATGGGAACTCGACAGGTACTCGCATTCGTGTTCGTAAAAATAGAAGAAAGTATACAAGAGAATATTATGAAGTTTTAGGCAAACATGGCAAAATGTACAGACTGCAAGCAGAAGATAAAACTACTATTGTCAGACCTCGTTTCAAACTTGTTAAGGTTCAAGGTGGTATACTTTCAAAGACAGTTCCTAACAAATATAAGACAACTCCTGACGAATATGCTAAAGAAGTGGAACATGACGACTAAGCATTTCTATACCATGCGTAAACTGTCATGTAAGGTGGCATGTAGTCTTTACTTTGTCCCGTTGTTTGCGTATACCCTGAAACGCGATGTGTATGGTTTCCATCTCCCTGTGTGCTACCCCAGAAACAATTTATAGCAAACTGAACGTTGTCTTTAACATCATATCCTTTACCTTTTTTCATTGCTGACCAATCCCAAAATCTATGCTTATGCCAACCTGCTTGAGATGTACTTAAATCTATGTAGTGACTGTGTGCAGGTAAATTTTCACCTGAAATCGTTTTACTTCCACCTGTTTCCTTTGAAGAGTTTGCACAATACAAAAACCTGTCGACTATTTGAGTCCAAGTTCCAAAACCCAGAACTGTTTCTGGTCTGGTAGAGTTCATTGACGTATAAATAGAGCCTATAGGATATACTGTTTGAAGTATTTCTGTCTTTAACGTTTGAAGCTCTGTTTTGTCAGCTTTTTTATCATATAAATCTTGAGCAGTGAATTTAACTTTTTTTTCATCCTCCATGACATAGACATTTCTACATCTAATGTATCTCATCGTTGTTATGTCTTCTTCCGATGTTAAACCTTGTGGAAAGTTAGGAGGTTTCCAATTTAATACATCCCCACCAGTTCCATCAGCTCCTTCAACCGTTCCTTCAATATTTTCTATACCAACAGTTGCGAAGAAATCGTGTGTATGTCCAACGTCACTTTTCCTGTTTAAGGTTTCTTGTAAGTTTGTAATATTTGCAATGGTATGTGTATGAGTCTTTTTAGAATATTCTTTGTCAGCTCTTGTCACTTCACTTGACATTTTTATTGTCAACATATGTTTTATCCGCTTTGTCATCTAACATTGCTGGTAGTTCATCTACGTCATAGATGTTATGTGTATGGTGTTTTTGTGGGTATGTTCTATCTGTCCATGCGAGAATATAGTCTCTTGTTGCATCTACATACTCTTTGTCAGCTTTGTTGTCAATATCTGCCTTCAAAAGAAGTTCATCTATAGGTTTCTCGTTTAAAGTTCTTTTTGTTGGATTTATACAAACAGTATGGTTCTTACTGTCTTGAAACAGAAACTCGTCTGTCAATGGGTTTATCGTCAGTTTTAAGTTTCCTTCTTTCAATGACTCAGATATCTTAGAATAGTTTGAAAAGTTTGTTGTGTTCTTATTTAGAGCTTGCACAATGAGTTGTCGGTTGTGTTGTATTTCTCTCATGGAAGCAATATCTTTCGACATTTTTATTCTAGATAAAATATGCTTCCAATAGAAAAAGAAAATTCAAGAGTTGCTACAACTAAACCATTAGATGAACTTTTTACTAACGTAGGTCAAAAGTTTGAGACAGAGACCGTAAAGCATGAAGGCTATCGTTTTGACTACCCGTTAAGATGGCTAAGAGACCCATCCGTCACAAAAGCTATTGGCTTTCGTAGAATGAAATTCATTTCAGAAGCCATACATGGTTTCCCATTTACGGTCGCTTTTGAAGTTCGATACTATAACAAAGAGAAACGTACGTATGAGAAATTTGAACAGGGAAAACTTTTACAAGTGAATTTGCTTGTAAACTTAGAAACAACTCTTCAAGCTTTTCAAGAAAAAATAAACGATATCTATCTCGAATATGCAAAACAGTACAACATTGACGAAGGAGAGTACCATCTCGATATTATATATGACAGGAAAAATGCAACTGTTAAATTCAATAGAATAGAAGACCTTGGAGAAGACGTTTATATTTCTACAAAATATAACAACTTGGCATGGTATAGATTTTTGAGGATGTTAAATCAGCCTGCAGAATATCCAGTACACCCGAACTTTTATGAAGTCGAAAACCCTAATGGAACATATGAAAATGTTTTCGACTCAGATGCTATTATAGTTCATGCTTCATTTTCTGGTGCACAAAACTCTTTTTTATGCTTGGCAAATGACTTTTACGAAAAACCTACAAAGCTATATGAACCGCCGAGTGGAAGTATTTCAGACTTTCAAGTATGGTTTACAACAGATGGAAGAAAGAGAATAGTTCCAATTATACCACGCGTTTTACTTAGAACTTAGTTTCATATACAACTACTATCGAACGGTAAAAATATAATTTTTTAATACGGTTTGAGGTGTTGGATTTGGTTGCCAACTAGACTGTGGTGCAGGTTCAGGCTGTTTGTATAACAGGAGCTTGTTCTTCTGGTTCAGGGTCTTTAGGTATAATACCAACGAACTGACCTACTCTTTTACCAATATTTTTGACTCCGTTCCAAATTCCTCTTCTACGGTTTTTTATTCCATTCCATGATATACCTCTTCCAACATTTCGAAAGAAGTTTCCTATTCTTCCAAAGAAACCCATTTTACTATATGTAAAAATCTAATGTCCGCCTAGTCTCTTACGTTTCCTTCTGAGTTCCATTGCATTCTTTAACTGGAGCTCATACATTCTATTTCTCCTCTGGTAGAAAACATACTCTGGGTCAACTCCTGTGTTCGCGTCATCTGCATAGAGTTTGTTTATATCCCACTTCAGGGTTTGATAAAACTCTTTCCATCTCATATTTGCATACCATTCTGGTGGCAAACCTAACGCAGCGTCATTTGACATGGCAGTTTGCATTTGTACATCTGTTGGCACTTGACCATAGTTTGCCATTTGCAGTTTGTATTCTAACTTCATTGGGAATATTCTCTGGGTTTGGTTGTCCAGGTTGCTGTGCATTCGCTAAGTTCTGTGCGTCCATTTAATATTAGATAAAAATATCTCTTACGAGTACATATACTGGACATTTGCAGGCATTGGTTCATCTTCATATTCTCTATATCTTTCTCACGTCAAATAAGTAAATGACACAATGGAAAAAACCTAAAACAAGTAGTCCTATTTCAAACCACATTTACTTACTAATAAAATTTCTTTTGTTATGACACTTTCTCCAGTTTATAGGACCTCTCTCATATTCTATCTTGTCATATATAAACTCATAGTCATGTATGTCCTCTAACCATCTCATAACGGTTTCCAAACCACTTTTATCGGATGTAAAGTAAAAGCATGGATGGTTATGTAAAACGTCTAAAGTTTCTAAAGAGTCTCTCAAAGTCCAGTCTACTTGGTATTGAAAATCCCATGTGTTATAGAACGGCGGGTCCACTATAAAGAAAACATTTTCCTTGTCTTTATATTTTTCATACAACTCTGTCCAATGACATCTTACAAACTCTATACCCTCAATATATTTTTCTATGTCCTCTTTGAAAACATTTGTATAGTTAAGATATAAAACTTTTGACATAAGTGTTTCAATGTCATGAACTCTTATACCACTATATAATAGTCTAGAAGATATACTATCCCAGTCAATATACTCTGCTTTTTTCAAAACCTCTCTGACAGTATTTTTCTTATCTAATGGTATACGTTCCATCTTACCTATAGTATCTTTTCTTTTAACTCTTTCAATATTTTGTTTGTGTCTGGAATATGTTTGAGACGGTTCATATAGTTGTCGAAGTCATTGCATATAATCTTTGAGTCAGGAAATACAGTATGGCACAAATGAGATATATAGAAACTTCCACCGAACAAATCTACAAATGTTAGACCATTCGGTAGTTTCTTAAGTTCTCTCAATAGAATATCTTTACATCTACTCTTATTTCCAAAGAACGGTAACGGTGGTTTTGTAAAATTCATTTATATATATATAAAAATGTTTTTTACCTGAAAAGTGACAGAAAAGTGACAAAACATGAAAACATATATATTTTGTGAAAAGCTCCTGGAAGACCCGTATATAAGAACTTCATTTATACTAAACATCTTCGGGGCTAGAAGGGGCGCAGCCCCTGGAAGCCCCACTACCCTTTTTTTTTTTTTTTTTTTTTTTTTTTTTTTTTTTTTTTTTTTTTTTTTTTTTTTTTTTTTTTTTTTTTATTTATAATAAAATTTTTCGAAATGCAGATAAATTTTAACATGTTCGAAATGAAACTATTATAAAATATATTCTTTTTATTAATGGTAATATAGGAATTGTAGGAATAAAAACTTTTTATAAATTATTCATAAATTTTTAAAATCTGCTATTCGGAAGTATGTTCAAAAATCATTCAATTATGTGAGAATTCTTACGATTACAAAAAAAGTCACACAACCCGCATCATATACTACTAATTATGAATCAGAATTTGTAACAATTCTAGCTTTATATTAAATATTATTGATATTATGAAGATTATTTTGGTAACTCATGTTTTGTATACTTTCTTGCCTTTGTTTTGTGAATGTTTGGAGTAAAATAAATTCATTGTTATCTCTGAGAGCATACTCCATTATATAAGCTAGTTATAACTTACAAAATATGAATTTGTCAATATTGTTCGCTGTTTACTTCTCTTTGGAAAATTAATGATAACACAGATTTCGGATATTAAATTACGTATTTTTATTAATGTCAATATTAAAGTAGAAGATATTGCATATTCTTTTAAGAATCATGTCACTTTTGTCATAAAAAGAGTCAATCTGCCACCCAAAATCAGAAATGTCTGATTGGGACGAAGATACTGATTATTATACAATTCTTGGCGTAGGATTTAATGCTACTGAAGATGAAATCAAGAAGGCACATAGAAACCAAGCCAAAAAATATCATCCAGACAAAAATAGAGATGATCCTGAAGAAGCTACAAGAATATTTAATTTGGTAGAGAAGGCGTATAATACATTAAGTGACCCAAAGAAGAAAGCCGATTATGACAAGCAATTTGTCAAACAATCAGGTTTCGCTTCTTTTGGCTTTGGAAAAATATTAGATTATTTTAATGACAAAGATATTGATGAAATAGACGAAGATGAAGACTTTTCAGATTCAATTTCCGGATTTTATCAACGAAATGAACGTAAATTTATTTCCATTGCAAAAGAAGAAGGAATTTACGATCAAGCTCCATTATTTGGTCGCTCCAACTCCCCGTGGGATGTCGTCAACGAGTTCTATATGTATTGGTCGAACTTTACAACGAAAAGACGCCATGATGAAAACGCGGCCGGACTTTCGGAGAAACAATACGAAAAATCAGTTAAAGAAGAAACGATTAAATACACTAGACAGATCAGAGATTTAGTCAAGAAAATAAAATCTGTCGATCCTCGTGTAAAACGTCAAGCAAAGCTTCTCGAAGAGAAGAATCAGCGTAAGAACATCGAGTTAGAACGAAAGAAAGCCGCAGATCATAAAAAAGTACTTGAACAAATCGAAAAATACCAAAATGAAGATAATTACGATCCAAACAAGCATATTATACTCAAAGACTTCGACAATGATGATAAGGATGAGGAATCAATACTTACTTGCACATACTGTGACCGAAGTTTCTCTGATGAACAAAAATTTATTACTCATTGCAAGACAAACAAGCACCAAAAGGCTGTTTCGAAGGCCAAAGCCCAGTTCATCAAGGATCCACACTCTTTTACTCATACTCCAGCTCTTTACGTAATTCTCGGTTTATCTCCATCCGAAATCGAGCAATACGGCAATGAAAAGGTCGCAAACATGCCATTGGTTGAGGAAAAGAAGCAAGCAACTGTCCAAAGAGGCTCTTCGACCCAAATCGAAGCGAAATCAGATGAAAATTCAGAAGAAGAGGAAAATGACGATGAAAAGGAGTTCGAAGGTTTCGTACGTAAGAAAGAGAAGAAGAACAACACGAAACCAAAGGAACAATCCGAAAACAGAGGAAATGACAATAAATATAACGGAAAATTCAGAGGAAAAATCAAACCAAAGGGTAAAAAACAGAACGACAATGACGAGGAAGACTGGAAGGGTCGTCGTTCTTCAAACAGAAGAGGTAAATCTAAGAATGAAAAAGATGATGAAGAAAATACACCAAGAAGGAAACATCAGAAGGGCCACAGGAACTCTGATGACGATGTTGATGAAGAAATCCAGAAAGAAGAAGAAATTCAAGTTAAATCTCGAGATATCGAACTTGATCAGCCAGAAAACGAAGAAAACAATGCAGAAGAAGAACAAAACGAAGTTATTGTGCCACAACCACAGCAAAAGAACAACAATACGAAGAAGGGAAGAAAAGGAAAACAACAAAAGAAGAAAAACCAAAAATTACAAGTAGAAAAGGAAGAAGAAAAAATCGGAACAAAACCTCCTGAACCAGAGGAACCAGAAGAAGTAGAAGAAATAAAGGAAGAAGTGAAGGAAGGAAAAGTAGAAATTGATGATGAAGAAAAACCTGAAGCAAAAGAGAATTTGTTCGCAGCGTTGATGGATGATGAACCAGAACAGAACGAGGAAGTTGATAATGATGCAGAAGAACAAAGTTTCGAACAAAATGAAAAAGAAATTAATGATGAAGAAGAAAAGAAAGAAGAGCAGGTTGAAGAAGTAGAAAAGAAGAGCAAATCAATGATTCCAATCATTGCTATCTCTGTTCTTTTAATTTTACTGTTAATTGGAGCTGCATTTTGGTTCCTCCAGTTTAATAAATAAATTGTAACTTTTTTTTGTTAAAATAATAAATATTAAGATAATCAGAAACTATAGATGCATTAACTTACTCTCTTTTTCATTGAATGAGAGACTTCCGTGATTATCTACTCAGGTTTTAACCTTTTACGGATCGGGGAGCAGCGGTGAGATGCTTACGCTCATGTTGACAACAGACACCTTTCTGCTGTCAGAAACATCATTCAACATATTACAACTACAAAACCAAAATCAAAATCCCAGCCAATTTTAGATCTCATGAGAGAGCTCGACAAAGCCCACAATCTTAAGGAATGTTGGCTCTTCATCCTCAGGTCGTGCTGCGACCTCGGGTCTTTTATTAAATCCGGCGATTGGAAGCAAATTATTCAGAAAGCGACTCAGAAGAGGATTTTGTCATTGGACAACATATTTTCACTCATTCCAGACGACATGCAACTCGACGACCTCCATAAAAATTTTTCCACATCTGTCGGCAAATCATCTGCAGATTTTCGAAAATCCGAGGAAACAAGGAAGAAATTACTCGAGAGAATGGCAGAGCAGAGACACATCATCACAGAAACAACGATGTCGTCAATCATTGTCGAACCTGCAGACCAAATTTGCGTAATTTGCAACCAAAAGGTTTTAGATCAGTCATTTGAAGATCCTCTTTAAAAAAATTTCTAAAGGTAATTATGCCTGCATGTATGAAATACATATAGTATAATTTGATCAAAAGAGATTCATGGAAAGTTCAATTTAATATCAGGGTATGCTTTCTTGAACGATACTTGAAGAATTCATCTAGATTTGGAGCATTTTTTCGAATGGATAATGAACAAATTCATGCCAGTTCTCTAAATTGAATTGATGATAATTTTCAATGTACTTATAATGGATATTATGGGAATCACATTTTTTGCATATAGTGAGTCTTCTTCTCGGGTCTTCATTGTAGCTACAATAATAGACACTCCTTAAAGTTATTTTTTTCGGATCATCTTTGTCATGTAGGACTGCTAATATTTCCTCCTTGTATTCATCGGAATCGACATCACGGCCAACATAGCCTTTTACAACTTTAATGTGATTGCTAATTGTATATTTAAGGTCATAATCTTTCTGGATTGCAACAGCATTGAGCAATTGCATAACTGATGTAAACTTATTTTTAACTGTTACAATTGCACTAACAGTGACTAAACGCCTTGGCGGATAATGCTTCATTCCTGGGAGTAATTCATAATCCATAACAGAATAATCCTTCACAATAATGAATGAATTAAGTCTATTAAGAATGACAACAATAAAGCAGTTGTCAGTAAATTGAAGGGGAAGTTCTGTATAAATTTGTTTTGAAGAAACGTCGAGTTTAATTTTGAGAGCTACTAGGCTTCGCTTAGTAAACTCGTTGGCAAGAGCCTGATTTTGTACGATTCGATAGTCATTGAAGATATTCATTCTAAATGAAAAATTTATGCAAAATTTTTAGAAAAGTGACACGAATTATACTTGATTTTTAGACATTTATTATATAAAGGGTTATGATGTAAATATTTCATTATACAAATCTTAATCCTAAAATTTATCACAATGTCTCAGAAAATTGAAGTCACTATTTGAAAAAGTAATTTTGAGAATTAGAAAACAATCAATTATACATATTGTAAATTTCAAAAAATTTACATGATATCGTGAAGCGCAATGGAATGAAGATAAGTATACTTATGAGTTTTTCAAAAAAGAACTCAAATATCTTTCGAATACAAGTCAGCCTTTCATGGCATTTATGTATACATTAGATACACGTGAACCAGGAAATATTTGCAGTTTATGTCCCAATACTCAAAGTGAATCTCTTACTAAATCAATAGAATGCGCAATTTACAATAAATTATGGAGTAGTTCATCCTAGGACTTCCTAATTATAGAAATTCTCAGCCGTTCCTATAATTAGAAAACATATTTACAAAATAGAAACATGTGTGAAAAAACAATACACTTGATTATCTTATTGGCATTTTGGAAACACAAAATTTTACAGTAAAATATATTGTGTTAACAATGCTGTATATGTATACCCTTATTAACTATTCGTGATTTTGTAGAAAAGCAAAAATTTTCAAGTTACAAATACAACTATTGTCAAATATATTAATTATATATTAGAGGTATTCGTCTAGATTTGGAGCATTTTTTTCAAATGGATAATAAACAAATTTATGCCATTCCGCGATATCAAATCGTCGAAGTTCTTCAATGTACTGATATTTGATAGAATGCGGATCACATTTTTTATATACAGTGATCCGATTTCTAGGATCGTCATTGTAGCCGATATAATAAACACTTCTTATGATTAGTATTTTAGGATCATCTTTTTCATGTAAAGTCAATAATACATCGTACTTATATGTAATAGAATCATAGTAATTGCCAATATAACCTTCGGAAAGTTTAATGTTGTTGTTAATTGTATATTCAAGGTCATAATCTTTCTGGACTCTAACAGCATTGAGCAATTGCATGACAGATATAAACTCATTTTTAACTGTGACAATCGCACTAACTGTAAAATAATGTCTTGGCGGATAATTCACCATTCCTGGAAGCATTTTAAAATTCATAACAACATAAAGTTTCACAATAATGAATGAATTAAGTTTATTAAGGATGATAATAATAAAACAGTCATCAGAACCTGGAACAGATCCTTTCGGATAAATTTGTTTTGAAGAAACGCCGAGTTGAACTTGGAGTGCTATTAAACTTAGTTTAATAAACTCGTCATTAAGTGCCTTATTTAGTACTTTTCGTTAGTCATTGAATATATTCATTCTAACTGAAAAATTTATGCAAATTTTTTACCAAATTACAATATCTTAATTATAGCAAACTGTTATCAAAGAATAGTCAAGATATTGTAATGAATCTTTACTGTTTCATTAATGAAGGCGACGAACCAAGAATAGCAATCATCAAAATTTTGATAATGATTTCATATTTTAAATTATCATTCAGAAAAATTGAAAAGATTGATTTATAAATTACAACATCTTAAATAACAAATACTTAATAATAAACAATAACTATCTATATGGAGTGTCACTTTGAGAAAATATATGATTACAACCGAACTTTGTAGAATTGCTGCGCCTTAATTATCTAAAATACAAGAAATATCAATTATTGATGACCAAAATCAATACCCATTCATAGAAGTCTACTTAAATGCATTATTCAATATATAAATAGATAGGTATTGAAGTTTTAAGAGATATTTGATCTAATGATCCGGTAAATTCTGAGGTAACATATAGGCACAACTGTATTATCAAAGTCCTTTGTGGGTAGACATTAAGTATTGATACATGTTTAACTTAGATATGATGGAAAATTGATAACATTTCATATGACACAGATTTGCTTAAGTCCATGATTTAAACATAAATTGTAGTATGTGCCATATTTATTGAATAATTCATGGCAAGTTTTCTTGAAATAAAGATTTATAAAAGTGACACGACCGAGTTCCATAAGAAATGGCCAAACGCTCAAATACCTCCGCACACAACAGATCCCATCAGCACCACCGCAATGGTATCCATAAGTGCGTTGTCAAGAAACTCTGGTTCGAGAAGGGAATGAACGCTAAGTTCCTCCGCAACGCCAGATACGCCAAGGCTGGACAGAACAAGTCCGAAGAGGAAGAAGAATAAACTATTTTAAAAAAATAATCAAGAAAAGTACTCTATTTTACAGGATTTTACTTCAGGCGAAATCTTTTTCTATTCAAAATCGAATTTAAATCTAATGACTTGAAATGCCATTTAAGTATGACATTTAATTGTTAGAACTGATACGTTTTTTAATAGAATAAAGAACTTAGCCTATTATATAATTTATTTCTATATTTTATAGATATAAATGAGATTTTTTTGATGAAAGCATTATCATATGTTAATTTTAAAGTCATCTTTTAACAAAAAGTGCTTGTTACCTTAACTAAGAAAAAATATCGATATAATTTCTATTGCAGCTGACGTTTTTATGAATCTTGTCATTTAGAAATGTACTGTGTGTATCTCACGCATGCTTACAATAGAAATGTTTGATTTTTTTTCCAACACAAATATTGATTTAATAAACAATGATTCAATAGACATTGATTCAATAGACAATAAACTGTTCAACAGATTTATAAAGACATATCTATTTATAAACACAAACAATATTAAAGCTATTATTACAAAATGAAATAACTAGTGGTATTCTGCTGTTAAATTTGCATATGTGGTTCCTAGTGAATAATCATCTAAACTAATGCAAGGAGTGTTCTCTTCGCATTTTATTGATTTATGATTCACTACAGTATCATACCAAAATGAGATTTGATTAAAACTTTCTTCAAATTTTTCTCCATATCTTTCAAAAAGCTTCGGCAATTTTGAAAATAGGCTTATTACCATTCCTATTTGATTACCTCTAATCTGAACTCCTGCTGCATTCAATACAGTTGGCAATAAATCAAATACAGTAAAAAGTCTTTCATGAGTTCTTTTCGCCTTTCTTTCTGAATTTAGAATGACATTATATGATTTTTTGACATAATTATGTTCTTTTGCCATTTGCTTGAAATTCTTGTCTCTTGAAGTATGATCACCATAAATCAAAAACACTGTGTTGTTATACCATTCTTGCGTCTGCGCCCATTCCAAGAAACTTTTAAGCTGACGATCTGAGCATTCTATTGATTTAGTAGCTGGATAACTTTGAGTATTGGGACATAAGCTGCAGATATGACCTGGTTCATGTGTATCCAATGTACACATAAATGCCATGAAAGGTTGATGTGTATCCGAAAGATATTCGAGTTCTTTTTTGCAAAACTCATAGGTATACTTATCTTCGATCCATTGAGAAGAATTCTTAATTTCTATATTCGATAAAATGCGTTGGAAATGATGCAAATCAAATATATGACCATATCCAAAATCATAACACCCAGTACCAAATGTTGCTGATGTAATATAGCCATTTAATTTCAATAATTCGCCAAGGCAATTAAGATTATTCAAAAAACCATCAGTATGATCACGCCTTTGGTTCTTTCCCATATAAGGTACACCACATAAAGCACCAAATGCACTTGCCAAAGTAAAATCAAGACGAGGAGGAACTGACATTCCACCAAGATCCGGGTATTTTATATGCGAAAAGTGGACATTCTCTTTATCTAATGCTAATTCTTCCATAAAGGGAATTATTTCTCTACCAAAGCAGCCACCAACAGCTTCACTAAAAACAACTGTATCAAGAGATTCAAGAGAAAGATATATGATATTCTTCTTATGTTTCGGGAAAGTTAATAATTCGTTTTCAGGAACAACTAAGTTATCAAATAGAAGTGAGTTTGGATCTGCTAGAGGAATTGGTTTGACAAGAATAGAGTAAAAATAAATTGCAGGTACAAAATAAAGAAAAGGAAGAATTAGAAAGGATATTCTGAAAGATTTTGATATGAATTTTATTTGGAATTCATATTAGGTGTAGTAATGGAGTGAATACATAAATAATGCTGATGGTATGATACATGGTAATGCATAATTTAATAAAAATGAGAAAATAATTGGAAAATTATTTGCATATTCATTACCTTGGCCAATTAATTGATAAAATTGATCCTCATATATCGGACCAACAGAATCATATATATTTTTGAAAAAAGCTAAGATAATAGTAAGAATTGAAGAAATTACAATTGATTCGACACGAATATAGATAATGTACACCTCTTTGATTATTGATTGATTCTCTTGAGCAGGGGCATATGGAGAACCAGTTATAAAATATCTTATAATACCGGAAAAAATATTCAAAATAAGTGCTGGCCATTTTGAATAATTGGAAGGAAGGAGAATACCTTTGAAAGGAAGAATAGAAGAAAATGTTAGAATCCATGTTATAAGAACAATAAAGTTGAAAATTGATATTATAAATCGCTTAAGTTCGAATAACAAGCATGCATCACTATGACATAAAGATGTGAATGCAAAAATGTTTATAGGTAAAACGTAGTACCAAATGAGTACAGTGGAGTATTGCCCTAACATGTGAACATTCAATTTTTGTCGGCCTTTTCGTTATTTCAGATTGTACTTATTTTTCTTACACCTATATTCTGGACAAAAGGAGAAGTGTCAGAAATTCAGAAGTCTAATTTTTTTCTCCCTCCCAAAATCGGAATTATTGAATAGGCTGTTTATATATCACATCGGTGACGTATCAGATCGCATCGCTGGTGTTCCACAAGACAAGAAACAATTGTTTTAGCCGTTTTTTATTTTCACTTCACATTATATTATTTTATGTCTGAAGATCGCAAGTTGAAGAGTTTTGATATGGATGGTGTAGTAGATTACATCAAGTCCGGCAAGGCAAAGAAAATAATCTTCTTAACAGGCGCCGGAATCTCTACTGCTGCAGGAATTCCAGATTTCCGCTCTATTGGAACCGGCTTCTATTCAAATCTTCAGAAGTATAACCTTCCAGAACCATCCGATGTATTTAATATTAAATATTTCAAAGAAAATCAAGAACCATTTTATGATCTCTGTCCTTCTCTTCTTCCAGGAAAGTACAAACCAACATTTATCCACTACTTTGGTGCATACATGGCTAAGAAAGGAATCTTACTTAAACAATACACACAAAATATTGATGGATTAGAACGCATCGCTGGTGTTCCAGAAGACAAGCTTGTTGAATCACACGGAACATTCTCTACAGCCCATTGCACAGAATGCAAGAAGGAATGGAAACTTGAAGAAATTCGTGACAAATTATTGCTTGGAAAGCCACTTCATTGCACAGATCCAGATTGCAAGGGCTTTATCAAGCCAGATATTGTCTTTTTCGGTGAAAATCTACCAACATCTTTCCAGCATAATGCTAGAATTGATTTAAGAAGCTGCGACATGCTTTTAATCTCAGGAACATCCTTGAAAGTCAATCCATTTGCTTCATTACCAGGTACAGCACCAGAAGATGTACCACGTGTCCTTATAAACCTCGACAAAGTTGCTCAATACACTGAAGAAGAAATGGATATGGGTGGTGAGATTGTCAAAGTTACTCCACCGAATTTCAGATCACTCCTACGTTACGATCATCCTTCAAATACTCGTGACGTTTATCTTGGTGGAGATTGCCAGGAAACATTTAAGGAACTTGCTCGCCGTCTTGGATGGTATGATGACATCATTGCTATGATGCCTAAATAGATATTTATTTTTAGCCAGAAAGATAAACAAAAATAAAATGTTAATTTTATGGATTTTTTTCACAAATAGAGCTAAACAATGCCTTATAGTTTAATTTAAATCGTTTGTTTTTATCATGGTCTGGCTATTATGCTTTAATGTCAAATCAAGAATATAAAGATAACTTTGAAGACTATTTAGAAGAATATGCTTCAATCTTTTTCGACCCAAATGACGATGGGAATGCAATCAGCGACCTGATTAATACAGTTACTAAGATAATTGAAAATAAAAATTTTAAATTAGGTACAAAATACGCTCGCATTATTAGAAAACTTGCAAAATCATTACCAGTTAAAAAATATGACCAATTTGTTCAAGAAGAGTTCATAAATCTTTTTAAAAACGAAATTTTTCATGAAGATTCGCAATATGCTTCAGCTGTTAGTAGAGCTATCGAATATATGTACATTAATATACCACCGACAATTGAATATTTAGAAGAAGCAGATTTTATTCAACATATAATTTATAATATCAATAATCGTCTTGAGAATGTACTACATTTAACATCTTTCTTAGGCATAATGCTTCGCAAAACTTCTACTAATCCACTTCTTGAATACTTTTATAATAATTTTGATTTTGAACATTATGCAGACGTTTTAGCGAATCACAGAGACACAATGATAGTCAACAAAGGAGTGTTTAGGTTTTTCAAGTATATTGCCATGGGAAAAATGCTTAAAACACAAGAAAATATATACAAAGTCTTTAAATTCTTGAAACGAATGATTAAGCACACAACAGATAATAAAGTTCAATGCAGATCGATTAAGACACTTACATTCTGCATAAAGAATTGGAATTCAGAAGCTTTTTACACAATGATGGATTTTAATTTAATTTTCTTTCTCGATCCAATCACAGCGACCCATAACTATGCAGCAAATCTTGTTTATGATCTCTACAAGCATCTTCTTACTGTATATCCCAAAAAAATCACTCCAAATTACTGCCAAGCAGTTTTTGACATTTCAAATGGCCCAACAATTCAATCATGCTCAGCTGCTTCATTTTTAGATACATATACTGATTTGAGGGACGATATTGTCGCTTGTTTATGGGAAGGAAGACATTTTTATGAATTTTACAATTCAGCTCTAAGTTCAACATATAATACTAGATACCACTCTTCAATGATTGTTTTGAACATGATCAAACGCTGTACAACGTTCGGAGTCAAAAAAGTTACAAAATGCGGAGAAATTATGTCAATTGTTAGATTTGTTGCAGAATCTGAAACTGAAAAAGGAGTCTATGCAATAATAGATGCAATTACACACTTATTAGACGTTGCCAAACAGGAACCAGAATTTTATCAAACCATCAAAATCTATTTTGAAAATGAGTTTGGCGGATCTGAATTCTACGAGCTAATATATCCATTTGTTCATGATGATGCTTATTCCAAAAAGCTGGAAGAATTATATAAAAATCATATGACCGAAACAGATACTTAATTCTTGTTATTTTTTGTAAAATAAAGTGTTTTTTATATTATATTTTTAACACAAAAGATACATTCATATTCATTATGTTAATACTCCATATGTATAAGTGTTGTATTCTAATCATATCCTTTTTCGATGTCTCATATATGCAGAAGCTTTTACGAACAATTTTCCATGATACTTAAATTCTTACTATAGTATGAATTTTCCTATAAGTCTTAATAGCTAAATATTAACACTTAAACTGTCCTTAAGGGCTTGGATGAATAATTTATCTCCTCTTTACTTTATTCAGCATCATGACATCTTTAAAGAACGCATGATGGTAATCTTTCATTGATCCCACATATGAATCTTTCAACACAAATATAAATTTGCCATATCAATGAAATTTATTAATATTTGAGTTGAAAAAGTCAACAAAGAGCTTTTATTATTAATAATTACCATACTTTAATCAATCAAATATAAATTTGCATTATTATTCACACGTATTTATTATTTTCTAATGCCCTAATAGAATAGAGATATTTACACAAGAAAATATGAAAACTTTGTATTTTCTATTAATTAAGCATAAATACATCATCTTCAAATCTCATAACAAAGCCATTTGTGCTGACACTCTTCACGAGAAGTTGCATCAAAACGTGGTTCTGTGGCCATCTAATTTCATCAATAATTTCCTCACTTTTGATATATGGCAAAAGTGATTCTGCAGTTTTTCTTACATTTTCATCTTTATCCTGTATCATTTGTTCAATCTGGTCAATGTAATCCTTTGTCTGCGAAACAGCCATTGATTTGCAAACACCCCAAATCGCTTGGCATCTAACGAAAGGAGATTTATCTTGCAAGAAAGGAAGAAGAATCTGTGCAGCATCAGGTTGTCTGCTGTTTCCTATTACAAACACAGCAGATGATCTGATGTCATCTTTCCTTGATTTCAAAAGTGGCAAAAATTTTGGAATGTAATTTGGCAGTGTCATCAAACGACCTGATTTCTCTGCCAACAATCCCAACAACAATGCGGAATATGGTGCACAATGAGCTGCATGATCAATACAGATTTGTGTCAATCTGTTAAAAGAAGTCATCGGAGAAGAAGAAATAGAAACACACAACATGCACATTCCTGCTTTTAATACTCCTGGATCCTTTGCAAGACTGAAATTGATGGGTGTCTGCTGTTCAAAAGGTGAAGACTTGGAAATAGCTATGATTTTTGATAAAATTATCAATGCTAATACAGATGGTTTTTCAAGGCTGACAATTACAGAAGGAATTATTGAATGTGCTGCTATTGTGGCTGCTCCTTCCATGGAATCAATGTAGTTCAAAAGACGCTGCGCAATTTGGAAGTGGTACTCAGTGGTAAGGAAATATGCAAAGATTGGGAAAAGTGAAGTGGAAGGAAAAGTGTCAAATGATGTTGTAACGAGGGAAAAAATTGTGGATGACATTTGTGATGAATTCAAAGCTATTGCACAATCAAGTGTTGTGTCCCACAATCCCCAGAGTGGATGAGATTCCATTGGTTTGAGCTCTGGAATGGAAGAAGGATGAATATTGAAAGAAGACATAACTCTCTGGGCTAGAACGAATCCACGAGCAAGAGAGAATACTGCTGGATCTATTAAGTATCTGTTGTATGTGTCTTGGGACTGTGTATCGAAAAGAATTGAATCTAAAATGGAATTTAAGAATCGAATTAACCTGTCTTTGGATTCTGTTGTTGCATTGTTCTCAACTTCGATGATTCCACTGTGGTGACGATGATAGAACCATATGGCAATCTCGTATGGGCACAGAAGACAAGATGAAAAGATATCTAAAGGAGCATCTGTAGAAACAGGTAAAAGTTCGCCTGCACCACATGCAAAAAATGCAAATACATCATGCTTGCATTGGAATGATCTGTAGAGTGAGCCAGCTGAAGGTGAGTCGATAATTGCACAAATTGGGCAATTGCAGCTATTTAGTAAGTTGGCAACTTTGATTGGTTTGTATCGCGATCTATCATCTGAGAAAAAGAACAGATTTCCATCGTCGGATGGTGGATGGCAGCCTTGACCAAAATAGTGTAATAATATTCTTTGTGGTGGCATTGACGAACAATGTTTTCGTAATAAAGTCAATACTGTTTGTGCTGATGGATCAACAGCAAAGTCACAAGGACACTTAATTGCGTTGTTGTACATATCTTCTATGGCTTTTCGAGAATCTGGTGCATAGTATGTAGGATCGAAGGTTAGTAATGGCCTATCGCAGATATTTCGAGGTTTTCTAACAAGCCTACGTATTGATGGAATCCTTAATCCGTCAAAAAGGCATAAGAAGCATATAGCTGACTTTGTTTTGTTAATAACTTGTCCAAATGAACCATTGTTGCCGCCACTTTTCGTCAAAACTATTGGGTTTTTCGTAGGAGAGTGGCTCCTCGAGAAGTTCATCTGAAATAAAATTTTTCAAGAATTATTGCTATTCATATTTTAGGACATATGATACTATAATTTTGAAAACGTTTTAAATTCAATGTCAAAAAAATCTTTTCAATTAAAATTTCAATTCTTCAAAAATCTAAGATCTTTATATTCTACTATTGGTTCCCAATTAAATTCGATTACTCTGAATATGTGACTAAATTTATTCTCAAACTTTCTATCTGAAATATACAGACATTTTGGCACTTTTCTCCCTGAATAAATTGCTGCAACTTGAACTTGAATCATAAAACTAATGAGACCATATCTTAATAAATTCATCGTTCGTCTATTAAATTAACTTCAGAAGCGAATATTTCTTAAGAAAATCTTGATATGTCAAGTAACAATCTTATGAAATCATTTAATTGTGAGTTCTGAAACAGTTTAGAAGCAATGAGTTAAAATCTCGGTTAATTTATTAAAGCCAATGTTAAAAAGTATGAATAAGGCGGAATGATTATAGTTCAATATGCATATATTTTATGTGAATATCCAAAGTTGTATAAACATTGCTCTTTTTCAGTAAAGCGTAAATTTGTTATATTTAGCATCATCCATAATGCATCTGTGAATTATATTTTGGTAGCCATTAACAATCTTATCATTTCCTTTTAGATAAACTCGGTTCGATTATTTCTATGATGTGAATTTCAAGAATCTTGTTGAAGATGACAGTGTGTTTCCAAACTAACTGGTCAATTAATGTGCACACAATTAATGTGATGTGATCCACTAGCTTGAAGAACAAAATCTTACAAATCTACTTGATTTTGTGCTCATCGAATTTCCTCTCTGTCAAATTCGGTGTCGCTTCATCAGCAATCTTCTCTTTCATAGCAATCATGTTTGAAAGGAATTTTTTGGATCCCAACATATCTTCTCGTTAGCATTGGCACAATTAACCATTTCTAATTTGCCAGCGACCTGTAGCAATATATGGGATTGAACATTCAATTTCATTGAACGAGAAATGATGTTCTGACGGTAGCTCTAAATCTCCATGCCGTACGACATTTTTGAACTTGTAAAATCCTTCATCACCATTGACATCGAGGATTTAGTTTTGCTTCAGGAAAAGTTGTTCAATAGCTCTTATCAATTCTAAAAATAATTTGAGGAGTGGCTGCTTCAACGTTGATTTTGGAAATTAGGTAATTAGAATATGATATTGCACAGCTGATCCGCGTATGGGCCATTTCTGTTCTCAGAAACAACTTTATTCAAGTGAGAAAAGTTAAATAACAAGATTTTTGGCAAAAGTCCTCTTCGAATTGCAGAATTAGTTTCCAAGCACTTTAACTATTTGACATTTAAGAATGGATATATATAATTAAGGATGTCGCTTGGGGGACAATTGGGGACCCGACCAAATAATTTTGGAACTCTGGGGGACATGTAAAGTGTCAAATATTTTTGTAAATTGTCATAATCGTTAGCCAAAGAATACAAGTATTTATTCTTAGGTTCCAAAATATTATTTATGATTGCTAATATACATAAATAGAGGGATTTTATATCATTGTTCCAAAGGATTAAAAAAAAATTAAAAATAAGAAAAATTATGGATAATTATAAGTTAAATACAACTAACCTCCTAATGTTTGATGCATTTATATGGGTACCAAAGGTTTTTAGTTAAAATCGAGAAATGATTTTTGAAAATCTTAGCCTCATCTCCATTTTAATGGGTTGAATTATATTGTTATCAAAACATAAATATGATTGTATAAAAATATGCATATACCTATATGGGGAGTCACTTTTTTCCCCACCCATGGGGGACTGGAGAACAAAAAGTGACGCTTGATGATAGAATTTCGATAGGGATTTTATTATTGATTAATCTACTCCCATTAATTAAAAACAAAAATAGTAAGGTGGTCGTTTCTGGTTGATAAACCCAAAATCTGGGAAAAGCCAGTGGGGAAAAAATAATCTTGTAAAAAAAATCGGGCCTCCGGCGGCAGCGCTAGCCCTTCGGGCGCGTCGCCGCCTCCGGCCATGAACATCACAAAGTTAATGTCGCCATTTATGAAATATGCCCTATATTATTTTTCCATTTTCTTTCCTTTCCTCCTTTTTCCTTTTATTTTCTCCTTCTCTTTCTGTTTTTTTTCTTTATTCATTGATTTCCTCTTGGTATTTCGAAATTTTATTCAAATAATTTAATAACTTTATGAACCAATTAGTTTAATAATTTATACATTATCTACCAATTTTACATTTCAAATATTACAGTTTTTTAAAGTGGATCAAATTTCATTTTATTAAGATATTAAAGTTTTGGAATCAGTATTATTTTGAAAAAGTACCTAAGTTATTTAATTAAAATGGTATTATTCAAATATTGAAATTTAAATATAATTTTATTTGCTCAATTTTTTAAATCTGTAAGTACAGTTTTGTTTGAAGTAACAAAAAATGATATATGCAGTTAGCGAAGTAAATTTACTAATAATAAAAATAGTTTGCTCTAATTCAATTAATTTAAACCTTTGGTAATGATAGAACATGCATAATATTTAAAATATGGATGAAATTCTTTGTATAAAGGTAAGTTGATGAGTTTTTTTCGAATCTGGGTTTAAAATATCTGAAGGTAAACAATTGATCTTAAGTGTTTATGCTGTATACCAAGAATTACATTAGATTCATTGTTGACTATTTGTTCAAATCTTTCCCATTCAATCACAGGATACTTAATCTGATGGAAAATCATTATTACTGTGAAATTCGCATTGATATCATATGATGATCCATTGCCCGAGAAGTTCGGTGTATCCCAAGTATATGAGGAACACGTATGATGAACACGTATGGTGAAAATTGAGAACTTTTGTAAAGAAATTGAGAGATTTTGTAAAAAAATTGAGAGGAAAATCTGGTGAAAGAATCACAGATCTGGGTGTACCAGAAGGTATGGAAATTGGATGAAAATAGGATAGTATGCTCCTATGTGAATAGTAGAAACATAATCCATAATCAAATCATCTGGGAAACAACTTTTTCTTCTCCAAAAATATTTTGAAAATGAAAAAATGAAAAAAAAATTCATTACCATAAAAACCAGATTTTATTACCTCGGGGAACGTTTCCCAGCACTTTTCCACCAGAATCGGCCACCTTAAAAATAGTCCATTAAAAAGCATCTATAGCAAAAATTTTAGCAAATTTAATTTTTCAAATCGCTGAAAACACATGAAAACTCAATGAAAGCCAAATAAATATATTTTAAATATTAACAAAATGCTGTATCTATTATAATACTTGAACTTTATTAATCAATTATTATTTTGCCACTTTACAAATATACTCTGACTCCATCAAACAAAGTTCCTCAATTTTTGTCCCCCAGCGTCCCCAAGTGGGGGACGCAATATTCCCCCTGGGTGACAAAACGACATCCTTAATATAATTGACAATTTGATGAAAAAAGAAAAAAATAATATTTTTTTTTTTTTAGTAAAAAAATTAATATTTCAAACATTTAAGAATGGGTGTTCAAGGCATTCTTCAACAGTATATCTAGTAGCTGGCTCGTATACTAGCATATGATCAAGCAAATCAATGAAATTTTCACGGTCGATGTATTCCTGGGATCCGCATCTCGGCTGACGTCTGTAGTTTCTTATTGTATCGTGGAATACTCTAAACGTGAAGTAATCATTGAAAGTGAAAGGTTCAAATCCGTTGGCTTCTGACATTTCGGACATTGAAAGGACATTTCCTGATGAGTCAAAGTAAAGGTGTTTTCTTTCCGAATTGTTGATCATCTCAGGAGGTAATGGCCCCAAACACTCATTAAACAAATGAATCATGTGCGCTTCGTTTTGGCCAGGAATAAGTGGGAAACCGACAAATGTTTCGAAAGCAACACACCCGGCAGACCAAATGTCGATCTTGTAATCATATGGTAAATGTAAAATTAATTCTGGAGCTCTGTAGTATCTGCTTTCGATGTAGAAGTTTCGCATGTCGTCAAGCTGTCTGGATGCACCGAAATCGATAATTTTGATCTTTTGGTTGTCGGCAGAAATGCACATATTCTCTGGTTTGATATCTGAGTGAATTAGACCAATATCTTTGGCTCCTTTGATGACAGTAAGAATAGAACGTAATACCTTCTTAACCAAAAGGATTGGAAGGCCTCTGTAATTCCTTTGTTCGAGAACTGAGAACAAATTAAAGCCAAGACGCTCCAATACAATGCATCGATGGTTCCTATACTCAAAGGAACCGTAATACGTGGCTGTGTATCCTATAGCATCATCATTGATGTTAGTAGCAATCTGTGTGTTAGTAATTCAAAAAAATTTACAGTCTAGACGTAAAAATCTAGACGTGTAATGAAACATACGTATTCTAGAATTCTTGCTTCTTGCGTAGAGCTATCAAAAAACACTTGATAAGACTTGGAAATTTTAATGGCAACATTAATTTCATTCCTTGATTGTGGAGCTAACCACATGGCATCGTACACTTGTCCAAATGTACCATTTCCAAGCCTATCAAGAATCCTGAATGAACCTAATCGTGAATCTCTGATGATATCGCCTCTATAAACAATTAAATCATAATTCTCATTATCATACCCATCATTTGTAGCTGGCTGACCAGGACTAGTTATTAAAGAACGCTGGCCCTGTTCTACTTCGTGCATTTTTTTTACTTTTAATTTTGATATCCTATCAAAATTCGAATCACTTCACTTTTTTACATCTCCAAGAATATATTTTAATAATCAGTATATGTAGATTAAAATTTAGTAATTTTCACATTTCACTTTTTCCAATTTTTTTTCCATTTGATATTCCTTTTTTCCAAGAAGTTCATAAAAGTTACATATTGTCAATAGTTGCATTAGTAATGAAAGTGAACAGAAATAACCTGCGTGAACACCAAAATTGCCATTTTGATTTTTCCAATCTCATATTTTGGTTTTCAATAAGCTTTTCCCCCTTGAAATTGAGCTAAATTTATTCAATTTTAGTCCAATGCATACTATATGCAAATATATATTTGATATTCACAAAAAAATTGAAATAAAAATATCAAATTTTAGTATTTATTCAAAATACAAACAAATAATTAAATAAGTTACATTTTTGGTTGTTGTTGCTGTCGTATGAAATCCTGTTGATGATTTGCTGTCATAGGAGTTTGAAATTGTGGAACTCCAAAGTTCTGATTCGGAATAAACATGTTTGGAGGATAGAAATAACCTCCATTTGGCATCAAAATGTCATTGATTGAGTTAACACCATTTTGTTGATAAAACTGAAATGCAGATTGTTGAACTGCCAAAATCTGCATTTGTATTGATTGATACTGGTTTTGTATCTGCTGGTACTGAAGAATTGCTTGTGGATTGTTTTGTATCTGAGGAGGAATCATCCTTTGGAATTGCGGAGGCATCTGAAACTGATTTTGTTGCGGCATTTGCATGAAATTGTTTTGCATACTATTAAAAGTTTTTTCTTCACGAGAATCATTTTCATTTTTAATAGTATTTTGCGTTTCAGTAATTCTTTCATTTTGTTTGTCATTTGAAGAATTGGCTAAATTGTTTGATTGATCCAAATTTGGTGAGCTTTTTGCGCCTTCTTCTTCAGTTTTATCTTGATTTGATGGATTAAATTCTTCATTTTGATTTATATTCACTACATCTTGTTCAATTTTTTCTTCATTTCCTTGCTCTTTATTAGCTGATTTTTCTTCATTGATAAGCTGAGCTTTTTCGTTTTCAATTACTTGTTCCTTATCTTCTATATCTTTTTGATTTGACTGAGATTCATTTCGTTTAACATTAGGATCATTAACAATTGAATCATTAGAAGTTTTATAACAAAAGATTTTGTAGAAATCAAAGTTTTCTTCTTCTGACGATTCATCAATACTAAGAACACGAAGTAATCGACAAATTGATGTTTCGAATTCTTGTGCTGCGAAATAATATGGACAAAATGAATCAATTGTATGTGTTACAAAAAATTCATGTAATGAATACAAGTTTGAAAAAATTCTCAACAAATTAATTGGAAATGAATACTGATTTGATTTCAAGTAACTGAAGAAAAGATTACTGAACTTGTCACTCATGGTTTTGTAAGAATCAATCAAGTCAATAATCTTTGTCATTTCATCAGTAATAATTGATTCGACTTTTGCTGATCTAAAGTCTAAATCTGATCTGAGATTACTGAAAACAAAATCTGGACCATTGATATTAAATTTATCATACTTAAAACATAGTGAAATTGGAATTTTAATGGAAGAAACATTCAAAATTCCTTCGACTTTGTTTGGTTTTGATGATAAATCAACTACTAATATGATTTTGTCTTCAACAACTTCTGTTTTAATGCTATTTGAAGATGACTCAATAGATACATCCAAAAACTGGAATGAACCTTCAATCAAAATAAAAATTTCTAAAGTATCGAAGTTGGCATTGAAATTGTAAAAATAAATTTGAGAGAAATTTGGATTGATTCCGGATTCTGTTACAACAATTTTTGGTGTAAATTTTGTTTGTAATCTGAAGCAGAAGTTTCTCCTTTTCTGATCATTTGTGTTTGGAAGATCAATTTCTTTCAATTTTCTAAGTTTTCCTTTAATCGTTTTTGTCAAATTCTTATTGACATTTATTGATTTGATTTCTTTTGACATATTAATGAATTTCTCAAAAACATTGAAAGTCTTTGGAAAAGATGAATCAAGATTAATTGTCTTCATATGTTTTTGGAAGTTCTCGGAGAATTTTTCTACTTTTATATCAGAAATTTTATCCAAAAACTGTTCAAATTCGATGTAACTCTTTCCAAAAACATTGTTTTCTTCTAATTTACTTGTCTTGAGTAAATTCTCAAGTTCTTTGTGCAAATTATACAAAATTTCGAAACTGAAATCTCCATTTTTCTTTCGATTTTTAGGAATTCTTACTTTAATCCAGGTCGGATTTGATATTTCGAATTTGAAAAATGATTTGTCAATTGAGTTATTAACAATTGCATACAAATGAGGACATTGAGTTTGTGAATATCTATGAGTTTTGTTTGTTTTAGTGTTTTTAACAATCATATTTCCTTTTTCTTGGAAAACAAAATCATATTCATTAACTTCTTCATTTGAAAGATCTAAATTCATTTGATTGTAAGACAAAATCATGTTGTAGAACTTGATTTTATCGAATGAATAATCAACACTTTCAAATTTTGGTTTAACCATCAAAAGAGGAACATTCTTAACAATTTTGTGGAAACAACTCGAATATAATTCAAGTTTCTGTTTAATTTCCATATTCCTTGATGATTCAAATTCTGTTTTCAAGGCATTAATAACTTCTTGTTTCATGTTTGACTTGATTGTTGAGATTTTTTCATCGTTTTCTTTATTTAATTTGTAGATTCCTGAAAATTCATTTTGTTTTTCATTTGAAATTTGATCCAAAATGAAATTATAGAGTTCTTTCCGTGGATTAGTAAAGAAAACATTATTATTTTCTTCGATACATTTCAATGTGAATCCAATAATTTGTTCTTGATATCTTAACAAAGAGTTTTCTTCACAAAAAGTGAAAACATCCAAAAATGAATTTTCAATCAATTTCCATTTCTTTTTGTCAACATTCAAGAGTTTTTCAAACAAACTAAATCTTTCTTTAGTCATTTTTTCTGGAAGATCATCATTAATATCATTTATAATAGAAATCTTTGTATTATGGATTTTCTCTTTAGATTCGAGTTCTTTTTGTAAATTAAAGTAGAACTCAGAAAGATTCTTTTGTTTGTTGATTTTGACTTTTTGTTCTTCACGTCTTTCTTTGAAATATTCCGAAAATATCTTCATATTACAATCATAGGCATTAGAATTCTGAAGCAACCTCATTATTATTAATCCAACTGTTACTTTTTCATCATTAGAGTCATCTAAATAAAGATTTTCTTCTTTAGAATCAAATGAATTGCAAAATTCTTGTAGTTTCGATAGATCCTGAGGAATTTTCTTCTTATTAATCATTTTGTTGATATCTTTAATGAAACCAGCAAAAGATTGATATTTTGGTGGTTTATAGTTCCAAAATCCATCAATTTCACTTAAAAATGGAAAAATTTCTTGACAATGTTTGAAGAAATAAAAGAAATTAGATAAAGGAACATTGATTTCTAAATCACTTCTGAAATTACAAATTAGTTGATTAAGAATATCAATACTTTTCTCATTAAGCTCTTTGAAAGGAAGTGAAAGATTGTTAATGTATTTTATCAAATTGTTTGTGTTGAAAAATTCATGATGTACAACAAATGTATCAAAGTATTTTTCTGAAACTTCATTTTCATATGAATCAAGAACTTTAGAATTTCCTGTTTTAAGAAATTCTTTTGTTAAATCAACTTCTTTTTTGTCATTTTTTTGCATGCTCTTGTAGATATTTATGAAATCATATGTTCTAAGTGAATAAATGAATTTGACTTTATTAGAATATTCAACTAAATCAAGAATCCATGAAATATCTAAATCACTATCAACAGGTTTTATTTGAACTTTTTCAAATTGATTGTTCTCTTTGACTTCTTCTTGTTCTGTTACTTTTATAAGTAATTTAAGAATGTCTGCTGATAAATCTTTCAAACAAATGATTTCTTCATCAATGAAAAACTTGATTACTTGATAATTCGTTTTCTTTTCTTTGATTATTAAATTGAAATATTCAGGTTTCATTTGATTGTTTGAAATCACATGGGACTGAAATTCCTTGTATTTAATTGCTACATTTCCGTATTTAGAGAAATCAAATGACTCCAAGATTTCAAAGTTTTCTTGACTTGAAGGATCAATTTTATTCTCAAACATTTCCAAAATTCTATAAAATTTTGAGAATGTTTCGAATTGATTTTCTTGATTTTCTAATATCTGATCGAAAATTAAATAGTTGTTGTCGCTTGTAGCGCTTTTACTTCTTAGAAGATCAGACAACAAAACAGAATTAAAGCCATCATTGTTCAAAACATCAATGATGAATTGTTTTGTCTCTTCTTTCATTTTCTCAGGTTTTTTAATGCAATTCCATGAAGCAAAGTAAGAAGGAATCAAGTACTTCAATTTGTTGTCAACAGTACTGAGATTAATTGGTAAATCCAATGCTTCCCTGAAGTTTTGATTTACAACAAACCTTGAAATATTCTTGATGCATTTGTTATAAATTGATGCAAATTCAAAGTCAACGCATTTGTAAAACTTATAATTTGAAAAATCAAATTGATTTTGTAAAGGTTCCAACAAATAACTTGAACCTTGTAATAGATTTAATATACTTTTGTCATATTTTGCTTCACAAACTGGAAAACAAAGTTTAATATCTATAGGATACATATTAATAATCAATTGACAAAACTCAAATTCATCAATTCCTGGTTTATAATCTACTCCAGGAATAGGAATCTTAGAATCCGCTTGTAAATTTATTTCATTAAATAAACAAGCTGTTTCCAAATTAAAAAGAATATCGTCAAAGATGTAAAACTTCCTTGAGAAAATTTTTTTCATCAATATTTCGACAGAAATACTATATTCCGAAATTAAATAAAGTGCTTCAAGGTTAAACTTCTTAGCTTCAGAAACTAAATAGTTTTCATTAGAATACATGATTCTATGCATTTGTATTTGAATATATTTGTGATAATTTGGATCAGAAGGTGCATTATTTTTTTCTAAATAATCCTCCAATTTTAATTCTTTCTCTTGAGCGACTTCTGTTTTGCTTCCTTTTAATAAAGCTTTCAGAATACCAATTGTCATTCTTTTGTCATCATAATACTTCTTAAGAAATTCAATTGAGTCAAGCCATAACTCTGAAGAATGCAAATTAGTAAGTTTTTCAAAAGTCTTTGCTTTCAAATCGTCATTTAATTGGTTGTATTCATAAGTTAGTTGTCTCATAACTTTCATGTTTTCTGGCAAAATATCATCATAATCAAGTGCAAAAATTGTACTACTTTCTGATTCCCTGATTTCTTCTGCAATTTCTTTGATTGTGCATTGACCAGCTCTTGACATAACTTTTAACAAAGTTGCCATTGCATCTTCAAAAGTATCATAATATGTGTCTTTGAATTTTTCATAGAAAAACTTCCAAATATCAAAGAAAGGTTTGAGATTATCTGACTTATAATAAGTTGAGAATGTTACATGGTTCAATAATTTAACATTAAAATCATTGAAAAACTTGTTATAATAGTAAGTTGATGCTAAGTCAGAATAATATTCAATTGTTTCTAAAACATCATCTAATTGTGGAACAACTCTAATTAATTCCAAACAATAACAGAGATAAAACAAAACATGCGCCAAACAGAAAGTATCACTCTTAAGACAACGAATAAAATTTGGAATAGGTTTGAAAACTCTTAATTCAAGTTCAGCCAATGGATTTTGTTCCAAATAAAGTTTTAAGAATGTTGGATTGGGATTTTTCGTGATTTCGTATTCAAGACAGAGATCTTTGATATTATTGAGTTTGGATTCTGATAAATTAGGATTTGCCTTTTTAATCATTTCATAATATTCAGCAAATGTTACATTTTTTCCATCTAAATTTATTTTTTCAACATCAAAAATTTCCTTTGTAAACAAATTAATAAACTTGGGATTAACTTCTTCAAAAACAATTGGAATGTCATAGGAATATGTTTCCGCTAAGTAATAAACATAAGCGAAAACATTGTACATGTGGAAAGTTATCTTGCTTTTGTCTTCTTCAAGTGCTCTCATCCAATTTCTCCAACTTAAAAGTTCTGGAGATGAAGAATAAGCTGCATAGAGATCTCTTCTTGCATTTGATCTAAATATGCGTGTAGTTGTTTTTTCAAAGTTAAATATAAGCCATGGATTGATATTCATAAATTTTGAAAGTTCATAAAAAGCGAGATAATAATTTTTGTCTTGCTTATCGATTTCATTTAGTAGATATACTATATATGAGTACCTTATTTGTGGTTCAACAAATCCAAATGAATGATTTTCAACTTCTGAAAAGATTGGCTCGTATAAATAAGTATTCTCGACTTGAAGTATTGGATTTTCAGGTAATTTGACTGTATCCAATAGATTTTTGTAAATGTTATGGAGATCTTTGATTTTGTAGATATCTGAAAGGATATTTTCTTGAGTGTTTTTGTTAATACTGCCTGAATTGAGATAAAATTCAAGAGCTTCATAGTTATCCAACTTTTTATTAACATATTCGACAATTTTTTCATATATTTCCGATGATTTTGTTTGATTTGCGTCAATCTCTTTTTCACTCATTCATAAATAAGAGATTGAAAAAGTTGAATATGTTAAAAATAGTACAAACAATCATTATTTTGATTGTTTCTCCCATCAATATATAAGTTTATTATTATAAGATTTGCATTATTTAAGAAAAAATTGAATTTGAACTAGTTTCTTCATTTTAATTAGGATGTAGTTAGCAAATCATCAGAATGGATTGCATAAAAATTATCAACCACATAGAAAAATCAGAATCATTTTGAGTTTCACTATCTAAAGCATGTTTCTTAAGGATATTCGTACTTTGATTTACAATAAAATTCAATATGAACTATAAATATTGGTGTATAATAACAATTTTGCGTTTCCATAACATATGTATAATATATTGATGATATTCATAAATTTTCATCACAATCAGTAGGTCTATTATAGTCAATGGTAAATCCTTAATGGATACATGTGGCTAAAATCTATGACTCTTTTATTAACAATCATATTCGGACATATTAGAAATTATTCATAAACAAAATATCACTTTTTGTCACTCATTCATAGTGAAGATGTAACTAAATTGATTACAATGATTATTCAATTAATATCTTGTAAGCTAAATTACAAGCCTTATCAGGAAATTGACAAAACTCCAGAAAATGGGGAGTGTATATACTCATATCTGACTCCAATTCAAATTTCTGGCAATTAACCTTAAATAATTGAATGTTGTGTCATAACCTTAAAAAATTCATTTCATTTAAAACTATACAAACAAATTTTTTTAGTTTTAATCAGTATTAAAATCGCAAAAAGGAAATGCTAAATGAGCACATTCTAAGATTGCATCTGTTGCTTTTGCAGAAGTTGTATGCAAATCCATGGTCAATATCATCTCTTCTTCTTGGAAAGTAAATCGAATTAAAATTCCCGCGTTTCCTGTAAAAGTATGGAATGTTCCTGCCATGAATATAACATTCTTCATATCACAGCAATCAAGAGGTGTCAAATTGAACCACTTCTTAGCTGTTTTAACAATTTCACTCAATATGTCTCCATCAGGAAGAATCAGAATAGATGATGTTGCCTGTTTTTCGACCATCGTTTGTTGCCACATGGAAGTGAAACTATCTCGTGATAGATTGTACGCGGTAATGAAGAATCGTGGTAAAACTGGTAACTTAAACTTAATAGTTTGTTTTGAATCGAAAATAATCGTCGCTATCGGCGGATTGTAAAATGGTTCATTTGCCACAAAATAAATTTGGCAGACACCTGTTGCATCACTCTCTATCGTGTTGACTTCCGAACCTTTTTTATACAATAATGAAGATTCGCATTCAATTTGGAATTGATCGATTTTGAGAGGATTTGTATCGTGATTCTGAATTTTTATCGTCAAGAGAATTTTTGATGAAGTTTCTGTTTTTTCTACACCGCAAAGGACAGTAATATTGGTCTGGTAATGGACAATACCCATGTTTTCCTTCAGGAATTTATCCAAGTGGTCCGAAACAGAGATCTGAGGCTTTTCTTCCATAATTATTGAAGTATCAACATAAGAATCAGGGGCAGAAAGCATTGAAACTGAGAGATCTGGGTAGTTTAAGACAGCTAATGCTTCTCTTGATCTCTGGCTTACTTCAAAACTCGATGATGATACTACATCTTGTAAGAAATACAAAACATCTGGGGTAACTTCTTTGTATTTTGCTGAAATCTTGAGTAAACCTGAAACTATGGATGTTTGAGCTGATGATGATGGCGCTGTTGAGAACGCCGTCATTAAAATATCAACAACATGTTTTGCATCTCTTAAATTCGTTTGTCCGAACACGTAAGATGCTATTTTGATGATACTACCATTGACTCCAGGGTTCTCTTCGATCTTCGTTATCAAATTCTGTACATTATCATCAATATTTTGATGATCATCTAAAATAGACTTCGCAACATGTTGCCAGAACGAGCAGTCATCACTATCACTGCATTCGACCAACTTAAAAAGCGTTTGTGATTTCCATTCCGAATCTTTTGAAAAAGAATTCGCCAAAACAGCCAATTTCTTGCATAATTCAGCTCTTAAATGCAAGGGTGACCTGGATACAAACGGAATAAGCGTATCTAAGATGATCATACAGTTGTCATTATTTGCAATGAAATATAATAAAGTAAAAGCTTTCATATCTGTAGGATAAACGCGTGATGTTACAATAGAAAGTAATTCTGGTATTAATGTCTGTAAATTCGAAGCGAAATGAGGTGAATTTCCGACTAAATTTGCTAAAGAATCCATTGCGAAGTGTCTGCGCTGTCGTGTGTGCTTAATAAGTACAGTAATGAAGTTTTCCAGTGTTGCCTGAGGCAAAGGAACTTGAACTAAGAAGATAGAAGCTTCAGAAAAAACAGTTAAAAATGCGTAAAGTCCGTCAGGATCTCTTTTAGCGTTATTCATCATGAGTAATGAGTTTGCTATTTGATCTAGCTTCTCAATATCCTGGTTCGTGTACGTCAAGTAGAAATTCAAGATCCGAAAAAGATTTGCACACAAAAAAGGGCAAGGAACGCCGTATCTTGTATACTGTGATGGGCATTTGTTCTGTACAACTAACTGGTGAAGTACTGTGATGCACGCTTGGAAGATATCGTCACTTGTCGCTGGTTGAAGTTGAACGATATTAAAAGCAAGTAAAGAAGCTGCAAGCGCGAAACTGAGATTTGTAGATTGTATCATCTGTACTACACGCGGTGACACTCTATCGATGCCAGGAACTTGAAGAGAGGACTGATAAATCTGATATAACGCAATAAGGGCTCTAGACTTCGTATGTTCGCTAATTGTATTCGAAATTAATATATCAACAACGCTGGGACCTATAGTATCAGCTATTTTGGATGTTGCACAATTTGCGATAAATCCAAGCGCCAAATCGATTGCGGGCTCGTTTTTTGTGTGTGATAATTGTTTTTTGAGAACACTTCCAAATTCTATGATTTGCTCTGGATGTGTATTGCATAGAATTGACGCTGCAATCCATCCAATTCTTTTGTTAGCAATATTGGAGCTTTCAATTAAATCTATGATGTTTCCGATGCCTAGTTGTATTATGTCATAACCATATAGAGTAATATAGCATAGTTTGGCGATAGATTTTTTTTTCTCGTAAGATTTCTTCTTTTTTGACATAAAAGCTTTTTTAATCTTCGTAATTTCATCAGCGATTCGTTCCGGTGCATTCGCTCCAAGTTCATATGTTTCGTTGATAAAATTACGAAGGCCTCGAATATCCATTGAAAAAAAAAGATTTGAATTCTTTACAAAAAAACAAAGACGTTTATGAAATATCGAAATCATCGATATGAAATGAATTATTATAGAATTTGATTCATCAAATGATTCACACAACCTCCATCAGATGAAAAAAAAAAGGTATTGGGGCTTCCAGGCACTTCGTGCCCTCTAGCCCCGGAGAAACTAGAGGAGGAATGATACAAAGACCAGATGAAAAAAATAAAAATATTATAATAAAATTAAATTTTTAGTCTTAAATTGTTTTTTTTATTCGGTATATTCTGAATCTTGAATGTCTTGGAAATTTTCTTCTTCTTCACTCTCTGAGGTGAGGATTTCTTCGACTTCTTCTTCTTCGCTCTCTGAGGTGAGGATTTCTTCGACTTCTTCTTCGCCATTGGGAGCAACAAATCCTGCGATGAAAACTTTGTATATACCTTCTTGAGGAGTCTCTATGATGAAAGTCGTATTGTTGAGGAAATGGAACTCGACATCTTGAACAAATTGGCAACTGCTGTGTGTGAATTTTGCAATTGTGAGAGGCTTTCCTTTATAGCCCTTGGGAAAGCTTGAGATAGTTACTGTTCCTCCATATGGAACTCTGGCAGGAATATCTAAAGCAACAGTTGTTATAACGTGGAAATTGTCTTGAAATTCTGGTAAAGGTTGTATACAATAACCGTTTTGACTGTCCTGGTTTAGTAAAAAAGTATACGTAAAAGGACCTTTCACCATGTTCATTCAATTCTTCCAAATAATTGTATGAATTTGGATATAAACGGACAAATTCAGCAATTTTAACTTCTTGTAAATGCTTCTGCAAGTTCTTTGGAAACAAGTGAATGAACTGGTCAATAGCTTGCAACGCTATGAGATTGCAGTAACGGGTAAATATGAAGCAAACATGTCAACAAGTACGCCAGGGTCTTTGATTTCGTTTTCAAGAGGCTGAATGGCATCCATGACAGCTTGAAACATCTCGTTATAATCTCGATTGTCTTCTGAACCCCACTGTTCATTTAACTTATCTAACAATTCTAACCTTTTCTTTGCGTATTTTCTACGAACTTTCTCTGAAAGAGGAGTGTCGCTATCTTGTGTGTCTTGAATTTGTGACTTAAATTGTTTGCTAAAGGCAAGATAGCGTGTTTGCGACCTAGTGGTCATTGCAGAATGTGTTTCTGTATGTTCGATTGGATGTGTTTCTGTATTTTCGGGTGGTTTGTTTTCTGTATGTTCGATTGGAGTCTGATTGGTATGAACTTCTTCTGAAAATGCTTCTGTTCCGATAGTTGTTGTTGCCTGACCTGTTGGCTGAGCTGTTTCTTTGTGCAAATGCATATTGTCCAACAAATTGTCTTGAATTGTATGAGGAAGTTGCTTTGGTATTATAGGAGGTCGTAAGGGTTTTGAGAATGGTGAGACATAAGTTGTAGGAACTTTAACTGCAGAGGTAGTCGACGAATTGTTTGCGACACTTTTTCTTCCTTCCATTATGAAAAATGAACTGTTTTTTTTCGGACAACTCATAGAAAAGTTTAAAATAAACGGTTTTTACCAACGGAGACCCCCTCTATTTTTTTATTTTATTTAATAGTTACCGTTGGCAAACCGTTCCATCTCAAATATTGAATGAACTATAAACGTTTTTTGTTTTCTATATATACTTTTTTGTCCAACGGTAAAACTTTTTACACAACGGTTTTTGAGAGTCGTCGCTGTTGACTTTTTTGTAGAGCACTCAAAATAGTATAACTTTGTCCGGACAAATAAGGGTCTATCGTCGCTACAGGAAAAGTTACAGGCGTTCCAAGGAAGTATACTTTGAGAAGCCTTTTCTCCTTATAGAATGAGATAGGACGGTTATTTTACAAAACTGACAACACGTTGACCGAGTAGTTTTTTGTGCTGAACAAAAAGTGTCATATAAACATCTGTCAAAAACCGCTTTTTAACTTCACTTAAAATGCCACGTAAGCTACGTAAGAATATACGTAAGAGGAAGGGAGCATTGAAACATCCAATAGTAAAACTGACACCACAACAACAGTTGCAACAACAAATGATGAATGACCCCACTATGTTGCAACAAATGTCAAGCAACCCTATGCTTTTAAACCGAGTTATTGGTGCACAGAGTGGAGGTTTAAGAGCGGCACTTTTAGCGAAAATGGCAGGCTATGGTGGAGCTGCAGACGGAACAGCTTATAACCCTCAAAGTCAAATGAATTTGAGTTCACTCAAAAATCAAATAACAGATGTCAAAAAGTCAAACATAGACATACAGAAACAAATAAGTGAAAACGAAAAGAAACTAGAATATGACAGACACACAAAGAAACTCAATGAGTTAAACGTAGAGAAAAAGAAGAAAGAAGAACAACTGAAAGAACTAAGTACAGAGGAATATGCGAAAAAAGTGTCAGAAAAAGCAGCAGAAGTAGCAAAAATGGAACAAGATGTTATAAATTTGAAAAACCATACTACTCAATATAAAGTACTGAAAGATGAAGAAATAAAACAAAAAAGCCCTGAAGACATATATGGATAGCGATGAGTATAAAAAAGAAGTTGAAGCAAATGTAAAGGCAGAAAAACTTTTACAGTTGCAAAACCAAACCGTACAGTATGAAAACTTAGCACAAGAAAGTAAAAATAACGACGCAGCCATGCAAAAGGCAATGAAAAGCGCAGAATATATAAAAGCTAATAATGACTGGTTAGATGCCCAAGCCAACGCTAAAGCAGCCCAACTTATAGGGTCAATAAGGACAAAAATACAAGCGGATGAAGACAGTTCAAATGAAGCTTTAATGAATGCTGACTTTAAGAACGCCTTCGAAGCTCTTCATAGTAAGGTGAAACTAGTGAACGACTTCTCATCTGGAAAGAAACTGAAGTCTGAAGGTTTCGACAACGAGTTAAGAGAAGTAGCACAAAATATGACGAAAATAACAGATGCAGCAACGAGACAGGCAGTTCAAAGTGCCTATGACGCCGTTAGAGCAACTGTTGTGGAAAGTCAAGAAAAAGAGTTACAACACACCAAAACAGACCTAGTAAATGCTTTCTTAAGAACGAAAAGTCAGGTAGGACATTATGCTGCAGATGGAACATATGTGCCAGCTGGTGGAACTTATATATACCACCAAAACCCTCCAAGAGAAGCACCTGCACCAGGACTACCTAAAACATTTACATCGTCACATGGACACAGACACAGGCATGCACCAAAACCAACACAACAACCAACACAACAACCAACACAACAACCAACAGTTCAAAATCCAGCACCACAACCAACAGTTCAAAACACTGCACCACAACCAACAGTTCAAAATCCAGCACCACAACCAACAGTTCAAAATCCAGCACCACAACCACAAACAGAGCAAGGACATAAAAGAAGTAGAGAACAAGGAAACCAAGAATTCTTAAAAATGCTTAAGGAAAATTATGGTTACCCAGATACTCTTGACTTTAGTGACAGATATAAAGAAGCTATTAGAAAGTTCAAGGAAGGAAATACTGACCCGAACCTATTTAGCTTTATGGTTCAGCACCAAATGGGATATAATTTCAAACCTGGAAAATACAAGCTCGCTAAGGGATATGATTTAATAGCATATCATCCAAATGACATGGATGAATTTACTCCGAGATATTTGGTGTCAGAGATAAATGATAATTCAACTATCTTCATGAAACGCGTAAAAAATAGAGACGGAACGAAAGAAGAAAGGGTTATGAATGCGGATGGCTTAAATAGGGAACTTGTTAAAAACGGTCTCGGAATATATGAAATGCCAGCAGATGAGGTACAAGAAACTCCACAGGAAGAAGTTCAGATACAACCAGACATGGAAGAAATAGTTCAGCAACAACAGCTAGAAGAGCCAGAAGGAAACGAACAAGTCCCTCCTTTGGAAACTAACTTCACAGAACTAGATGAAGATTTGGAACAGCCGAAAAATCTTGACCCTCAACAAGAGTATGCGGAGAATATGGAATCTTTCCAAGAGTCTAAGAAAAATTCGGCTGACATAGTAGAAGAATATCGAAAAATGTTCGCCGACATACAAAAGACTCCAACATCAGATGAAAATATTCAGCATAGAATGGAAGTACTGAAAGAAAATGTACGCAAATACAACAATCCTTTTTACTTACGACCATATAACGTTCAATCTTTGGCTGAACTCGGTGAAAATAAAAGGTTAAATTTCAACAAAACATATAGAAATGAAACATTGTTTAAAGTTCATTCAGAACCTAACCAATATGGAAACAAACCTACTTTTGTTTCTGCAGACTATGGAACTACAATGAGATGGGGTCATAAAGCTAATCCGGATAGGTGGTTCATAAACTTACAACCACAATTCCAAGAAGTTGTAGACGCAATGGAAGTGAATGGTGAACCAGATATAGCTGGTATTTTCAGCGCGGCTTTAATGCCATTGAAAGATATGAAACATGCAGATATTTTGGACCAGTATGAAATGAACATGGCTGATGGAAATATAACACCTGACGTTCTAGAACATTTATCTCAAAGAACTACACAGAACCATAGAGATGGTATATTTGGTGAAGAGTTTAGAAAGAAAGTTAGGGAGATAGAAGGAAGAGAACCTATTGTACATGACCTTGCAAACGAAAGTTTACAAAATGTCATAAAAACTTACTTTGCAGACAATGAACTGAGAAGGGATGAATATTTAAGAAAACTCAAATGGACAGTACCAAATGAAATGTTAGTATTGAAAAACATGTTCCTTGACAAAATAAAACCAACTACAGAAATAAATGACGCAAGACTGAAACATTGGGTAAAAGCTTTCCCATTCACAAAAGATATTATTGGTAACATGGAAAGAAAACCAGAATGGCTACAAAAACATATATTTGGAAACGAGCATATTCCATATGGACAAGCTATATTTGAAGAGCTTGAACCGGAAACTCAGGAAAGAGTCATGCAAACAATACGCGAAGACTCAAATACAAACTATGACAAAATCTTTCTAGGATATTGGTTACCTGAGATGGGCGACCAGAGCCCAAAGGCAAAAAGGACATGGGAAATTTACAACATACTAGGTGAACATGAGGCAAAGATGCAACAACTTGAAGCAGAGGGCAAGTTACCAAAAGCGACACCAAAGAAGAAGAGTAGAACAAAGTGAAAGTAGTGAAGAAGTAACTTCATCTAGTGAAAGTAGTGGCAATGAAGGAAAAAGAAGAGTTAAAAACTCAGTCAGGAAGAAAGTAAAGCTTGGTACGAGTGGGTTCTATTATGACACATAAATCCAACTATTCTATATTTTTACCCATATGAAATGTACGCCGCTCAGAATATAACGCCAACAGTTTTGGATGCCATGAACGGAAATGTTTCCGAATGGTATAACGAATGCGACAATGCCATTAGAAGGTCAGAAATAGTTCCTGGAACTTACGAATATACAACTGCTGTTTCTTATGGAAACGTAGGTGAGTTTGGAGAAGGTTCTTCAACAACAGTAGATATTGCTTGCGACAGGTTTCATATTATTTCTATTGACAACTCATTCTTATACGTGGAACAAGACATTGAAATAAAACCTTCTGCCAAGTTGTCTGACAAGAAAGGTTGCAATGGAATTTTCTATGTCGGATACCAATATGCTCCAGAAGTTTTCATGGGATATAAGATATATTCTAACTCTGACTTAGTTCAAACAGTAACATGGGCAAACTATGAATGGTTCGCTTTGAGAAACTCAGTACAACCACAAGCTAGAGAACAAACAGACCAGTATGCAACTATTGAGAAAATAAGAAGACTTGACCCTAACGTTCCAGGAGTTTATGTTAACCTTTCTGGTTCAGATGGAACTGCTGCCACTAAAGTAAAACTGAAACTTAGAGTTCCTTTGTCATCTTTCCTCATCTTCAGGTTTTTAAGATACTTGCCAAACTGGGCAGGAAAAATTTCTATCGAACTTACTCCAAGCAAAAATAACTTAGTCATTGCACCAACACAAGACCCATTCACTCTTACAGACGTAAAGGGAACAAATAAAACGTCATTCGCCGAATTTTGCAAAGACAAAGTTGACTTAGACTTTGGTTTCTCAAACCTCAACACTGAAGTAAACTATTATTTCAATGCTGCTGGAACTGCTTGGGACCCAGTTAAGTTCACATGCGAAAAGTTTGAATGCAAGAGAATAGAAAGCAGACTTGCAGTCTATATGTTGGACCCAGATATTTCAAATGCTTTAGCTGCCAAATATATTGCAGTTCCACTTATGTTCCCTATACACCAAATATCTGTCAAAGACTTTGCAGGTGAAGTTGGAAACCAAAGTCTGACCGAGGTGCAAGAACAGATATTGCTTTAACAACTGCAATGAAACATGCAGATACTATGTTTGTACTGTTCAGACGAACTATAAATGACTATTCTTGTTTCTACAACCCTGGTATTAAATATCATATAAACATAG